TTTGGTCTTATCTATCTGGCATTATTATCATCACCCTGATATCACTCATGACTCATGTGTTATGTATTAATGTGCCACTACAATAGAACGAAACAAAATATTCATCGATTCGATGCTAAAATGATGCGTTAGGGTGTGTAACAAACAGGTGACTGCACTCCTGCCTGTCATATACCATTTAGCTTACAGCTCGTTGTTTCAAAACCTATCTAACCCGCTTTGTCTCTTTAGATGCGTTCTTAAACACTTCGTTCTCAGGTAAATGGTGTCTGACAGACATTCATGTAATAATCTCTATATAACAAATGTCTTACTGGTCAACGTGAGTTACATATCAACAGTGTCGCACAATCTTATTGGTCAACGTGAGTTACATATCAACAGTGTCGCACAATCTTATTGGTCAACGTGAGTTACATATCAACAGTGTCGCACAATCTTATTGGTCAACGTGAGTTACATATCAACAGTGTCGCACAATCTTATTGGTCAACGTGAGTTACATATCAACAGTGTCGCACAATCTTATTGGTCAACGTGAGTTACATATCAACAGTGTCGCACGATCTTATTGGTCAACGTGAGTTACATATCAACAGTGTCGCACAATCTTATTGGTCAACATGAGGTACATATCAACAGTGTCGCACAATCTTATTGGTCAACGTGAGTTACATATCAACAGTGTCGCACAATCTTATTGGTCAACGTGAGTTACATATCAACAGTGTCGCACGATCTTATTGGTCAACATGAGGTACATATCAACAGTGTCGCACAATCTTATTGGTCAACGTGAGTTACATATCAACAGTGTCGCACTATCGTATTGGTCAACGTGAGTTAAATATCAACACTGTTGCACAATCCTATTGGTCAAAATGGGTTAAACATCATCTGTTTTTATCAGTTTATTTAAGATAAGACTTCTTGATAAATTTAAACAAAACTGGTATTCTACACTACACTCTTCTCATAAATGTGCTAACTATGTGTTATATAAGACACTTTTACACGTTGAAACATACTTATGCATTGCTATTCCTTTTCATTTGAGAATATGTTTCACAAGATTTAGATGTGGCAATTTTAGACTTAAGACAGAAACAGGAAGATACACTAATATACCATACCATTTAAGACTATGCCCTCATTGTAGGCTAAATGACAAAATGTACTTAGAAGACGAGATTCATGTTTTACTTGTATGTGATGCATATACCTCTATTAGAAAAAAGTATATTAGTAAATACATCAGAAATGACAGTGCAGTAAACATATTCATAAATATTATGAAGACTCAAAATACACAAAGAACAAGTGATCTCTGTTTATACCTATTCAATGTGCAAAAAATATGAAATATGTTCAATACCACTTAATATACCTATGTTCCAAGAATGCTACATACGGTATATATCATGTATATGTGTGTGTGTGTGTGTGTGTGTGTGTGTGTGTGTGTGTGTGTGCGTGCGTGCGTGCGTGCGTGCTTGCGTGTGTGTGTGTGTGTGTGTGTGTGTGTGTGGTGTATCGTATCAGTGAAATGCTCATATATGGTTTGTGTCATGCCTATGACATTTCAGGTTTCGGACCTGATGCACAATGGCGCTTGGCACGTGCGTGCGTGCGTGACAGTGTGACAGTGTGACAGTGTGACAGCGTGACAGCGCATGGCTGCTTATACTAAATGGGTTAAACATCATCTGTTTTTAACTGTTTTTATCAGTTTATTTAAGATAAGACTTCAAATGCCAACAGTGTCGCACAATCATGTTGTTTTTTGGGTTAAAATATGTCAGAAATATCCCACCATCCTATTGTTCACCGACAGCTAAATATCCTTCTATTGCTTACCCCCATGTTCTGTCGGAGTTAATAATCCGCCGGGGAAAGGAAAGTATACACTTGAAATTTGCATCTGAAATTTTTTTTACAAACTTTATCAAAACGTTACTAGGCTGAAACAGTCGCCAAAAGACACAACTATGACACCCGTGTCAAATACATCACCATCGAATAACCGTCTCTTGTTTGTTGTAGTTTTAGCCACCATCAAACATTGGTGTATACTTCAATTTCGCCAGCAGTTTAAATCATTGGCGTAGATAGATGCTCATGATGTCAACCACTGGATTGTCTGGTCTAAATTCGATTATTTACAGACCGTCGTCATAAAGCTGGAATATTACTGAGTGTGGCGTTAAACAACAAACAAACAAATACAATAGTACTGTTCCATGATAGATAAAAGATCAACACAACAACATTCCCGTTTTGTTGGTGTTAAATATCATCAGTTAATAACATCATATTTCTTTTGGCTGTTCATAGAATAACATCTTTAAGAGTTTCATATATCAGCGAGTTCACCTTTGATGGAAATGCATTTGTGAAATAATTTGATAAATGCAACAACAAAAAGTTTCCCGGATTCCAATCAAATTTAGAAATCCATTTTTCAACCTTTTAGGACCAGTGTGCAGTACCTCGTCTAGGATAACAGAGTGGGTGCAAAGCACTAACCTATCTTAGAGTGCAGTTTCAATAACACATTAGAGGAACAGGACTCGACTAGAACAGCATTTGATGGGGTTTTCATCTTGCAAAAGTGATAAATACTTTCTGGAATAGATAAAAGTGATGCATTCACGTGAATGGGTGGTTGAAATATGTATCCTGGGCATACATAGGAAATCTTCGTTCGGTGGGTATTCTTTATATATAATACAAAAACTGTTTCATCCTACATAAGGACACAATTTCTAGCCCTAACATCTATTTCGAAAAGTTTTTTATTCGAGTGAATGAGTATGGTTTTACTCCGCTTTTAGCAAAAGTTCAGCAATATCATGGCGGGGGACACCAGAAATGGGCTTTGATATTGCACCCATGCGGGGAATCGAACCCGGGTCTTCGCCACGACTAGCGACAGCTCTGTTCGAACCACTGACAATCATTAAAACCGTTGCCACAAGACTAATTTTTCACTTTCCTATGTCCAGAACCTATTCACAGTCAAGGGGAGGTGGGGTAGCCTTGTGGGTACAGTGTTGGCACATTAAGACCCGGGCTCGATTCTCAAAATGGGCTCAATGTGTAAATCCCATTTTTGTTTTTACCCCTACTGGATAAATCATCAAAGCGGCTAAAACAGTTATACTCAATCACACGCCACAAACATGCGGCTACATGCCACACCTGAAAACGTGTATTAATTATACCAGACGCAATCAAATCTTTTGCACATACAGTGTATAATCCTAATACCCTTGAATAACTGTGTCTGTGAATGATCTAGTCTGCATCACAGTCTCTGAACCATATTATATTTGACCAGCCCTTACTCTCTCGCTTTTCAGAGATCAAATGTTAGTCTGTAGATGTTCGAACATGCAAACTTAATAATACCGCTTTCCCGATGTCTGCTACGGCTGACGAGTCTGTCGTAGCTTAAGAGGATTACACACGCCACGTCTCCACACACGACGTCGTTGGACATCGCGTGCTGCACGTGCTCGACTCCTGTCCGTCCGTGCCCAGTCGTACACTAACTGGTCTTACCGCCGCACACTATCCCCAAGAGAAGCGTCCGCAATATTATGGGTTTAGCTTGGACGGATATATGATTAAAAGCCGTGTTCTGTTGTTGACTCTCGCTCGTCAGGCTGAATGCATCTGTACATGGTGGGTGTTGTTATATTCGACGTCTGTAGGTAATATGTTATATAGATTGCACCACGAGGGAATTCTGGATTGGAATAGAAGCCCAGCAACCTTGGCTGGGCGTCAGAGGCGACGAAATGGTTTGGTGGTCAGGTTCGCTGACTTGTTTATTGTCATCGTACTCCGACGGCGGGATCGTGACCCGCGATATCGATCATTGGATTGTCTGGTCCAGATTCGATTCTGTACAGGCCGCCGGCATATTGCTGAAAGATTGCTGAAGCATTAAACAAAGAACCAACCAAACAAACAATGTTTGCAAGTTTCTCAACTCAGCTCCAAACCGAACGAACCATGATCGGGCGCCAATTCCCAGTCAAGGTCTGGACGTTGTACAAAGTGCTATCTGAAAGTAGATACATTGTCTCAGTGTAATTAGAGAGTAATCAGTTATTGCTGGTTTATTACCCAGCATAAAATCCGAGTTGGCACACGAATCTTGTAACTGACCTGTTTCATCCGTGCATGGACTCCTCAAAGTGCCACATACCTTGCTGGTTCATCACACTCCGGACTATTTGTCTATTCGTTTGTTCTGTTTGTTTAACGCCGCACTCAGCAATGTTTCAGCTATATGACGGTGGTCTGTAAACAATTGAGTCTGGACCAGACAATCCAATGATTGATATAACGAACAACGTACCACGCCCTCGGGGTAGGTGATTCGCTGTCAACAAAGTCACCGAGTGTGACCACAAGGATAGGCGTATAGGTTGCTGGGGGCCTGTACTGAAGACCTGTTCTGGGGGCCTGTTCTGAAGACCTGTTCTGGAGACCTGTTCTTGGGGCCTGACCTGGAGGCCTGTTCTGGAGACCTGTTCTGGGGGTCTGTTCTGGGGGTATGTTCTGGGGGCCTGTTCTGGGGGCCTGTTCTGGAGGCCTGTTCTAGGGGCATGTTCTGGGGCCTGTTCTGAAGGCCTGTTCTGGGGGCCTGTTCACGGGGCCTATTCTAGGGGCCTGTTCTTGGGGTCTGTTCTGGAGGCCTGTTCTGGAGGCCTGTTCTTGGGGCCTGATCTGGAGGCCTGTTCTGGAGACCTTTTCTTGGGGTCTGTTCTGGGGGCCTGTTCTGGGGGCCTGTTCTGGAGGCCTGTTCTAAGGGCATGTTCTGGGGCATGTTCTGGGGCCTGTTCTGGAGGCCTGTTCTGGGGGCCTGTTCTGGAGGCCTGTTCTAGTGGCATGTTCTGGAGACCTGTTCTTGGGGCCTGTTCTGGTGGGGCCTGTTCTGGGGGCCTGTTCTGGGGGCCTTTTCTGGAGACCTGTTCTAGGGGCATGTTCTAGGGGCCTGTTCTGAAGGCCTGTTCTGGAGGCCTGTTCTTGGGGTCTGTTCTTGGGGTCTGTTCTGGAGGCCTGTTCTGGAGGCCTATTCTGGGGGCCTGTTCTGGAGGCCTGTTCTTGGGGTCTGTTCTTGGGGTCTGTTCTGGAGGCCTGTTCTGGAGGCCTATTCTGGGGGCCTGTTCTGGAGACCTGTTCTGCGGGCCTGTTCTGGAGGCCTGTTCTGCGGGCCTGTTCTGGAGACCTGTTCTAGGGGCCTGTTCTGGGGGCCTGTTCTGGGGGCCAGTTCTGGAGGCCTGTTCTAGGGGCATGTTCTGGGGCCTGTTCTGGAGACCTGTTCTACGGGCCCATTTTCTGGGGGCCTGTTCTGGGGGCCTGTTCTGGGGGCCTGATCTGAAGGCCTGTTCTGGGGGCCTGATCTGGAGGCCTGTTCTGGGGGCCTGGAGACCTGTTCTGGGGGCCTGTTCTTGAGGCCTGTTCTAGGGGCATGTTCTTGGGCCTGTTCTGGAGACCTGTTCTGCGGGCCTGTTCTGGAGACCTGTTCCGGGGATCTTTGCGTCTTTGTATGAATACGCCTTCATTGTTGAACTAACGGGAAAAAATCATGGTTGAAATTAAGGTTGACCGACTATCAGTTTTTTTAAAGGAACAAACAAGTTGATTATTTTCGTGGCATTTCAGAAGCTGTTCTGTTTGCTTGTTCGTTGTTTTACGCCGCACTCTGCAGTATTCGAGATCTAAGTATCTGACGGCGCTTTGTAAATAATCGAGGCTGAACCAGACAATCCAGTGATTGACATCACGGGCATACGCATTGTGGATACCGAGCCTGACCACCCGATCCGTTATTCGGGTTTTACCACAAAAATGGGTTGGTGAAGACCAATTCCTACCTGGATCTTCTCGGGTTTCAGATGCTGTATTATCAATGAAGTTGACCTCTGGAATTCAGCTTCGTCTGTTTTTATTTCAATGCGAAGTTTCATTTCAGGTGCTGGTACCTTTATCAAGGAAGTGTTTGTTTGTTTGTTTGTTTGTTTGTTGTTTAACGCCGCACTCAGCAATATTCCAGCTATATGACGGCGGTCGGTAAATAATCGAGGCTGGACCAGACGATGACATGCATCAACCAAGTCAGCGAGCCTGACCACCCGATCCCGTTAGTCGCCTCTTAGGACAAGCATAGTCGCCTTTAACGGCAAGCGTGGGTTGCTGAAGACCTGGCCTACCCCTGCTCTTCTCGGGTCATCATGCAAGTGAATAATGATAATGAAGAAATGTACCTCCACAAGTCAACTCTTTCTTCAATCTTAATGTCGTTAAAAATGGAATTGTTGATTCTTACTTAATAATAATTTCTGTTGATACTTAGGCAATTCTAAACACTTTTCTAAGCCCTATAATTACCAGAACGTTTACGTAACTGACCACTTGTACACAGGGCCGGCGGGGTAGCCTAGTGGTTCAAGCGTTTGCTCGTCACGCTGACCCGGGTTCGATTCCCCACATGGGTGCAATGTGTGAAGCCCATTTCTGGTGTCTCCCGCCGTGGTAATAGCGGTGTAAAACCCACCGTAATACTTCCTCACTCACATGTGGACAAAGGTTTGAACTTTTCATAACAAAATGAGTGTTTTCCAAATCTACACAAAACCTTTACGTATACTTCTATTCGTATTTTATCCCATGCAAATTCTAGACATATAGGTGTATCATAAATAAGAGATTTATTCAATATTCCTCTACGCCGCATAACAAAATTGTATATCTTTTCGCAACATCTTGGGAGATAGCTAGACCATCCTCTCGAAATACTCGAACTTTCCGCCCTTCCATATTTCAGGAGGAGATAACTCGCCATTAATCAATGCAACTGTCGAGATAGGGATAATATATTGTCGGAGTGTTCGCCGACCTGCCTGACAAGGATTGGTTTATGTCTTAAACATGGAGATAAGGGCCCCGCATGCACGTGGGTTAATTGTTCATATCAGCCAGCTATTGTTAATATACAGCGCATATTACACCTGATCATGCGTGGGTAAATATTATCCACGTTCGGGGCTGATTCAGGCGTTTGCAAGGCCCCTATGGTGGATATCTAATATCTTAACATGGAGTTGCAGTGCATTTAAGCGTGGAAGGCGGCTGTTGAGTCTTATCAGCATCTCCACGTCTCATAGAAACAGTGTTTATTTGGATAGCTGGGATTCCTATCTGCTGTTTCTATCAAATTATGCGCTAAAGTTGGTGTAATATTAAGCGAAACTTAAATCCTCTTTTTGTGTGGCATTTGTGATGATATGAGGCCAAATGACAAGGTATTTGGTGGCCCCTGACTGGCTTGCTGTAGAAACCAAATAGAAGACATGATAAATATGTTTGAAATTGTTTTGATTATGATCAGGGCTGTTAATGTGACACGCAACTCACAGAGTGTCTTTTCGGTACTTATACCTGCATACTTGGAACTTGGAACACAAATGCAGAAAGGCTAAACATGTTTGTTTGTTTGTTGTTTAACGCCGCACTCGGTAATAACCAAGCTACGTGACGGCGGCCTGTATATAATCGAGTCTGGACCAGACAATCCAGTGATTGATATCATGAACAACGATCAACGCCCTTTGGGTACGATGACACGCCATCATCCAAGTCACCGCTCCTGACCACCCGATCCATTAATTCGCCTCTCACGACCAGGAGCAGTTCCTGGGGACCAATTCTAACCCGGAATCCCCACGGACGCCCATAAAAATTCATAAAAATGGCTCATTCTGGGTGTTTTCGGGAGGGTGATATATTTTAGCATTTTGACATAAGCAATTCTGATTTTTTTTAAAAATACCGGTAGAGATAAACATATGAACATGAATTTGCTCCAAGATCATTTCCTGGAGTTTCAGCACACACTTATGCCAGCCATTTGACTGTGGTCTGTAAATAATCGAGTCTGGAACAGACAATCAAGTGATTGACAGCATGAGTATCGATCTACGCAATTGGGGTGCGATGACATGCATCAACAAAGCCAGCTAGCCTGACCACCCGATCCCTTTAGTCGATGTATATGATGTCAATCACTGGATTGTCTGGTTCAGAACCGATTATTTACGGACCGTTTTCATATAACTGGAATATTACAGAGTGCAGCGTTAAACAAACAAACAAACGAAACACAATACGTGTACCAACACGTGACACTGGCCTTGGTGATCACATTTTACGGTCGCTTCACTGTACGCTAATCGTAAGCGTAACGGTACTTTTAGTTCAGTGGGAAGATGGGGTCCCCATGCGCCTGAATGGTACATATTTTATATGGTATATTTTTGTAATCCCCATATTGTCTAGAAAATGAATTTTGATGTTCCCCAGGCGAAATATTGTCGCATGGTGCCCATTGGCGGCCATATTGGCGGCCATATTGGATTTCAAAGAAAAATATATAATCGGCATAACACTTGAACCAGAGGCGGCACTTAAACATATGAGAATATGAGACCATTTTTGTGAGTAATTAAAGCAAAAGAAAGTGATTGAAGTTGTTTTTTTCATGATTAAAATATCATTTCAACAAGTTGGGTACATTCAAACACGAAAAACGTGAACAAGTTACAAATATATATCTACATACAATGGGGCCCTATCTTACTACTCCAATCAAAGTATTACGGCGGAAGACACCACAGTGGGATTACACATGGTACCCATGTAGAGAACTGAACACGGGCCTCAGGCGTGACAGGCGAACACTATCATTCACTAGGCTGCGCGATCGCCCCTCGTCTATATATGTGGTAGAAGGTCTTTCACAATTATTTTTATCTTTAAGCCTTTTCTTCTATTAGTTACATTAGCTTTGCTTCTATTGGTTACATTACAAAAACTAGTAACTTATAGGGCATTAAAGGCAATTCAAAAGTTTGTTTAAATATAACATAAATATACAAAACGCCCAAATCGAATTAATTCTAAAACTATATTTATTTACATTTACAAGTGTCAGTGTCCGGTGCTGTGATTCTCTGTGGCGTCCTTTAGATGTGCCAGAACCTTTAGTCGTGGGTTCGCCGTGAAAGTTTCTAGGTTTGCCAACACCATGCAAAGGTTGTGGGTTTGCCAAGTCGTAGGCATATGACATGAATCGCTTCCGGCTTTCCTCCCATATCAAGCTTACAATCCGTGATATAACTAAAATATTGTTCAAAGAAATGTTAAACCAAACTCACTCACTCGTTTATGTCAAGTTGAAATGCCACAGTTTAGATCGTCAAAATCGTAGTTCAATAGCGAGCAGGCCCATGTTTGGTGTTAAGCGAAGAAGAATTATCTCCCTTGTCTATTGCCTTCGAGTGTTATGGATCGGTAATTGTAAACGCGTCAGCATCATCTAAACGAAGGATTTCTTGAAACTGGTTGTAAGCGTTGTCATAGCAGGTGCGTACGTACTTTCCGTGAAGGTCCGGGTTAGAATGGGTCTACATCAATCCATGTTTGTCGTAAGACGCGAGGAAAGGGATCGGGTGGTCATCGTATCCTAATTACGTGGATCGATGCTCATGGTGGCAATCAATGGTTTGTCTGGCCCAGAATCGATTATTTACAGACCAACGTATAACAGCTAGAATATTGCAGAGTGCGGCTTAAAACAACAAACAAACGAAAATATCGAGTAAGGATATGGTAGAAGCGCCGTAAAATATTCCCACCACGACTGCAAACGGCGTAAGGCATGTTGTGATGTATTTGTTGACTGCAGTAAGAAAGAAGTCAAAAGAAGTCATTGTACCCATGTCAGGAATCGAACCCGGGTCTTTGGGGTGACGAGCGAACGCTTTAACCACGAGGCTACCCGACCGCCCAAAAGAAGAAAGTCTTCAGTGTAGCACTGTTAATTTTCACATCCTTTCTTATGTTCCAAAACTGATACAAGAAAGCATTTAAGTCTTGGTCAAATGGTTTCAAATATTTTCCGGATTCCAAAATGCGTGAATGTTGTTTTAGTCAAGTGGGCAATAATGTGTGTGTGTGTGTGTGTGTGTGTGTGGAGAGAGAGAGAGAGAGGGGGGGGGGGGGGGGGGGGGGGGGGGGTGTTGAGTGATGGAGTAAATGAGTGAGGAGGGAAGATTTTGTTTGTTTGTTGTTTAATGCCGCACACAGCAATATTCTAGCTATATGACGGCGGTCTATAATAAGTCTGGACCAGACAATCCAGTGATTGATATCATGAGCATCTATCCACGCAATTGGGATCGATGACATGCATCAACCAAGTCAGCGAGCCTGACCACCCGATCCCATTAGTCGCCTTTTACCACAAGCACAATCACCTTTTACGGCAAGCATGGGTTGCTGAAGACCTATTCTACACCGAATCTTCACGGGTCGAGGAGGGAAGAGTAAAGTTGAGAAGGTGCCGAGTGAGAGAATCAGTGAGTGAGTGAGTGAGTGACTCTCAGTCACTTCTTCCCGGAAACAGACTGCTGGGGACTATTCTAACCCAGAATACCTACGTGCCTGAGTGAAGTGTGCGAGAGTTACGAGAGTCAGTGTGCACCAGTTTAGCATCAAGAGGATTTGCTAACAGCAGAAGCAATTATTTACCTCACCTTGCAGGGTTCCTGGGTTTGATCTCTGACACCCAGGGCGGTCGTGTAGCCTAGTGGTTAAAGCGTGCGCTCATCATGCCAAAGACATGGGTTCAATTCCCGACATGGGTACAATGTGTGAAGCCAATTTCTGGTGTTCACCACCACATTGCTGGAATATTGCTAAAAGCGGCGTAAAACCATACTCACTCTTTGACAGCCATTTTAACCACTCAATCCTCTGTGTGAAGAATGACAAGAGCAAACTGGTTGTACGGAGTATGCAAGTTTATTGAGTTTACAGAGAGACCATGAGAATCAAACTACCCATACAAACAAATGGAAATGTTGTGGTATGTACTTGCCAACCAAAAAATAGTGTAAAAATCTCAATA